AGAAATTTTAAACTTTTTCCCTTTCCCCAAAAAGTAAAAGGAGTTTTGTTTTTAAAACGCCCCCCCCCCCCCCCCCCTTTTTTTTGTTGATCAACTGCTGGCTGACACTGAAAGGCAACCTGTCCCACTATTTCGTTCGCCTAATATGCCAAGATGGGACACAAATACAAATAAAAGAAAAGAAAATGTGGTCTTCAGGGTGTTGCTCATTTAATCCCTTTTCCATCGCGTACACTTTCTATTTGGGGAGATTCACCTTCAACTCTTCTGCAGTAAAGCCAACTACTGCAAGAAAAATCAGTTCATACCCATGAGGAGGAAAAATGTCACAATGGATGATTTATAGAGGTGTTCTTATTTTCTACCAGCAATGTTGCTACAACTTACTTTGATTTGATCAGGGGGCCTAATTTGTTATAAGCAAATGGCTTTGAATGAGGATCCAAACTAAAATAAGCAGAAACAGGGTGTAATGCAATGTTTTAAGATGTTAACGTACAATTAACTTAAACTGTACTTAACATTTAAACTTTAATGCTTTAAGTCATAAGTTTAACACCAAAATAGCAACTTGAACACTATAGTATAAGTATTTTTTTTTTTACTTACAGGTTTGTTTTTAGATACAAAATGGTGATAAAATGACCCAGAGCTGGTCTTAAGATATGGTTTTTGTTTTTATTTGGACTTGTTATGCTTTTCGCACCAGTTCAATACCTGGCCATTAAACTACTTAACTCTGACATGAGAATAAATCTGGCATAAAGGAAGTGCTTAAACTTAGAGGAGGAATTGGATCTATATGTAGCGGATTGAGATTAAACTGGGATTTTTGAACTCTATGGTACCAGTAGATTGTCAAAAAGTAATTTTTGTCAATAATCCTTTAAATAAAGGTTAAATGAAAATAAATTACATTTACTCAGAAACAGCCAGGGATGACCTCCTGCATTGTTCTGTGATACCGTGTGAATAAAACAGCTGTGCAATTTCCTTCTTAATAGATCCATTATTTATTGTAGGGACTGAATGTTATTTTCTTTCACCTTGAACAGCTTTGCCGTCAGGCTGCAAGTCTCTGAAACATGATGACTCTCAGGGAGCCTTTAGCTGAAAACATGGCATGAAGTCAATGATTGGCTGAGGGATGAAGGCTCCGTGTCAGCTGTTCACTGGATGCTTTTAGTTTCTTACAAACATTACTTACAGATGCAGTTTGTATCTGATTTATTTTTTTATGAGCTTGAGAATTTTTCAAGTATATGGTGGTATTAAAACTTTGCACATTATTTGATGTTTAATTTCCAATACACTCTAACACAATTAACTAAGTGATTATGAATGTTTCAGTCATGTAATTTGATACAGCACACAACTCTCATTTCTAAAGGCCTTGGTGAGCCTTTAGAAACATTTTCTACCACACTTCCACACTTCTTTCTTCCACACTTCTTTCTTCCACTTAACTTTCCATTAAACTGTTAGCAAACAGTACTCTTTTAACAGCCAATTTCTTTACCAGTAGGATTTTGTGGGACAAGTCAGCAGTCATTATTACTATGATTGTGTCTGCTATGACAGAGGTATAACATGACATTTCTGTATTGAAGTATTTTCTTTTGTTAGTCTTATATAATGTTTAATTTACAAGAAATTGGATTTTATAAGGATTTGAATCTCTGATAATCTTCTAATTTATCGAGTCGCCTGTTTATCTGCAAAATGCTGATATTTTTAACCTTTCTGGATCTGCTGC